AGGAATGGTTAAAAAAAAAAAAAAAAAAAAAGCAACAACGCGATTCTAGGATCTCCGAATCAACGCTTTATCCACTCCCAAACCTGTCTCCCACGGCACACAAACACTGGCATATATATATACATACACCCCCATCCCATACTCTTCAATCTCAATTCAAACACTACCGCCCTTTCCTCCGTCACCTTCCAAATGGTACCTCTCACCCTCTATCTCGCTTTCCCTTTCATTGTTTATATATTTTCAATGTGCCTTTTTGTATCGCAGGATCCAGAGAACAATCTCCAAAGCCATGAAGAAATTCATCCCGATCAGGCCACCCATTCCACGACGCCACCCGAAGAAGACAAGCCCCATGCCCAACTTAACAACTGGCTGCCCATCACCGCCTCCAGGAAAGCCAAGTGGTGGTACTCCGCTTTTCACAATGTCACCGCCATGGTGGGCGCGGGGGTGCTCGGTCTGCCCTTTGCCCTGTCTCAGCTTGGATGGTTTGTTGTTTTATGCATTTGTAGATAGATAGGTAGTTGAGATGACATGATTGGATTTTAATTTAAGTTGTTGATATGATATATATATATATATATATATTGCATTATAGGGCCCCTGGAGTGACGGCGATTGTGCTGTCTTGGATTATCACGTTCTACTCGCTGTGGCAGCTGGTGCAGTTGCACGAGGTGGCTCCCGGGCGGCGGTTTGACCGATACCCGGAGCTTGGGATGTACGCGTTCGGACCCAAGCTTGGGTACTGGACCATAATGCCCCTCCAACTCACTGTTCAGGTAGCTTCCAGCATTGTGTACGCTGTGACCGGGGGCAAGTCCCTGAAGAAGTCGTGCGAGCTTGTGTTTCCGGACACGTTCGATGAAATCCAAGAGACGTACTTCATCCTGTTCTTCACGGTGCTTCAACTGGTGATGTCCCAAAGCCCGAATTTCAACTCCCTGAAAGGAGTGTCTCTACTTGCTGCAATAATGTCCTTCGCCTACTCCATGGTGGCTTGCGTCGCATCCTTCATCAAAGGAAACGAGGACCACCACTCCCTCCAAGTCACGTACGGGGTTCGATCCCACACCGCCCCCGGCCAGGCCTTCGACGCTTTGAACGGAATTGGGACCATCGCGTTCGCATTTGCGGGGCACAGCGTGGTTTTGGAAATACAAGCCACCATTCCGTCTACGGAAGAGAAGCCGTCGAAGGTGCCGATGTGGCGTGGGGTTACGGTGGCTTACGTGATTGTTGCCATCTGCTACATCTCGGTTTCCATATCCGGATATTGGGCGTTTGGGATCGCTGTGGACGACGACGTTCTTGTTTCCCTGGAGAACCCCAAGTGGCTGATAGCTGCTGCCAACTTCATGGTTTTTCTGCACGTCATTGGAAGCTACCAGGTTGGTTAGTTATTTAATTTAATTTTTCTTTTTAATTTCTAAAATAATACCGTGTTACTCCTCCTAGGTATTCGCAATGCCCGTGTTCGACACCATAGAATCAGCTTTAGTAGGAAGCTACCAGTTCAAGCCAAGTCGAGCACTGCGACTCATTGCCCGCAGCAGTTACGTTGGTAAGTACATTCTAACTAAAATGGAATCAATTTTTGTTTAAAAATAATTAATCGGAGTGTATGGGCTTCCACAGCATTAGTAGGATTTGTGGGGATGTGCATTCCATTCTTTGGAGGATTACTGGGATTCTTCGGCGGATTAGTGTTTGCTGCCACCTCATATTTTGTAAGGTTTTAATTATTTTTATTTTTAAATAAATAAATAAGGAATAATAAAATAATAATTGATTTGAATCATGGCAGATGCCTTGCATCATGTGGTTGATAATTAAACGACCCAAGCCATGGAGCTTCCACTGGATTGCATCTTGGGTACGTAATAAAATTGGAAGCTATTTTATTTTATTTTATTCATTTTACTTTATTTACGAATTTGGGGGTTTTTGATCTGCAGACGGCGACGATCATTGGAGTATCGATTGCAGTTTTGACGCCCATTGGGGGACTTCGCCAGATTATTCTCTCATTCAAGTCCTACAAGATTTTCGCTTAACCTTTCCGCCTTTTTGTTTGTAGATACTTTAATTTCTTTCCATTTTTTTTTTCTTTTCTGGGAGGGAAATTGCTTAGCTGTCTTGCCTCTTTTCCTTTTTTTCATTCTTTTGTTCACTTGGACATCTTTTTTGTCTTCTAGGATTCAATTTACAATTTTTTTATTTTTTATTTTTTTTCATTTCAATCCTTCAAATTATTTATTTCAATATTTTAGTGACACATATACAATTCAATCATCACAAGTAGAATATCAAGAAAAATGGGTCAATTATGTACATTCAACTTTAGTAATAGGATAATCCATAAATAATTAATCATAATGATTAACATAAATTAATAATATTTATAATAAATTGATTAAAATATATTATTCCCTAATGAATTATTTCATCGTGGAGGTTTATGCTTGTTTCTTTGAAAGTAATCCCAAAATATGTAGATCCGTGACTCTTTCTCACTTAAAATACTTTTTTAATCAATACTTCAAATTTTAAATTTATTTTTCGATAAATTTTATAAATATCGCCAATTATTATTATTTAACAAAAAATAAATAAAGAGACGAAGTTCAATTCTCGCACTATTCATTCATATAAAAGAATACGGCAGTTCGAAACCAATTAACCTACCTCACATTATTCCTCTCTCCACTGCTCTACGATCGACGTGCCGAACGGAGCTTCAACCAAGCAATGGCATCCGGCCTCCTGAATCGGAATCTCTTTCCGATTTCTGCAACATTGGTGAGAATTTCTACATGAACTCTGTTCGCTCAGAACCTGAAACTGAAGAGCTCGAGCTCAGCATTCGCGTGAAAAGAATGCAGTTTTCGAGCAATGGAAGCAACCTTTCTACAAGTTTTCTATCGTATCTCTGCCTTTTGCTCAAGCTTTTCGCTGTGAGTAAATATATATAAATTTTCGCGTTTACATGATTTTGGATTAGCACTTCTGATGAAGTTACCTTGATTACTTGATATTGATATCCACCAAAAGACTCCGAGAACTGTCGCGAGTTACTTGTATTCTTCATTTACATCCTCATGATATTAATCTTCATTTTCATATGTATTTTTTAAAAGTTTTTGGGAGGTGATCCGCTCTTTATTTCATTCTAACCAGCTCTCCGGATTGTTTCTTTTTTTCCAGCTCAATATGTGTCTTTATTTTTTTGTTTCATCTGGTATTTTTACTTGATATCCTCCTTTAACTAGTTTGTTCTACAATATGCAATTCCGGTGTGGAACATATTTTAAACAGATACAGTTGCTAAGATTATATGTCATATCAATGCAATTAAATGGAACCAACAGTTGTACGCGGTAGACCTAGAACTACTTTGTTAATGTTAATTACATAATCGCCCAGAGATGACAGACTGATAGACACATAGGATTAATAAGATTTAGCCTATCTATTTTGCTATATTCTTTTATCCTGCTTACATTATTTTCTGTCGTGGAAATCAAGTTTTTGCCAATGCTTACATTCTAGCATCTCTAAAACTAAGATTTAAAGACTTGCCTTGACAATCAAATGTAATAGAATCAAACAATTGTCCCGAGAGATTAGTCAAGGTCCACCACAAGTTGGCCGGACACTCATGGATATTAAAAAAAAAAAAAAAAAAAAATAGTTAGGGTAAAACAAGTATTTATCTGGTTCTGGTCAGGAAATTGCTCATATCAGTAACCTCTTATCCTTATATGATGTCTCTCATCTTGTTGCTAAAGAGCAGGTAGCCACATCTTCCTTCTCTTCATTGGCAAGACTTCTATGGGGCTCAAGAACAGTGTCGGTTAGTTCTCTCAGCAGGAGGAATATTAATTTGGTAACGTGTCTTTCTGATTATGCAGTTATCATATGTCGGAGGCCAAAACAACACTATCTTCTTATAGCTTGGGGTTTACCTTTATTGAATTACATAGGTTATATTGGAACAAAATATATGTTACGCATGGAGGAGTTATATTTCTATGGAGTTTACTAGGAAGATATGAAGAGTCAGAGTGGCTTATTGAGTTGGTTACAAAAAGGAATGCAGTTTCGAGATGAATTTGGTCGACCTATTTTTTGTTGCACCAATATCTCATATATAAATCTAATTTAAAGCTTGAGCTGTTGACTTTATGGCTACCTCTCCTCCATTTTACTCTGTAAAATCATCCTGGTACCTAAAAATGATTTATTTCATGCAAATGGATGCAGTTTTATTTGGAACGCATTTTCTTTGAATATTGGTTTGATATTTAGCTTTTATTTGTCTTAAATGAATGGAAAAGATACATAAAAAAAACTGGTTTTTTGTTGCATCCTGAAGCTTTACGACGCAATTATTTCTGTAACAAGTTTCCAATTTCCACTTGTTGAAACAGAGTTGTCTGCCATCATGGATATCGTGTGCAGTGTGAATATCCATTCATAGGGAACTGCCTCAACAGACCCACCACCCAAAAAGTTGGAACTTTTCTCATACGAGAACAACCTGGGGTATGCTGATGGGCTATCCTCCATATCCTGTTTATCTCACCTTTTCAGTTTCATCTATAACATCACTAAATTACCTTCGCCACGATTCGTTATAGTAATGTTTAAGAGTAGGTAGCGGAGAGAACCCGTGTTACTAGCACAGCTAAGTTAACTCTGTTTTATTGTTCTTTCCCGTCAGCTTCATAAATCCGGTGGTTCGTTTTTCGTAGTTAGGGTCTATTAGGTTGGAACTTTGAAACTGGATAATAGTTGGTTGGGTAAGCACTATGTTAATACTGCTTAAAATGCTTTAATGGGACCTTTTCTTGTAGACTTGTTTTTTTGGATGCCCTCGTTTTCTTTCAATTTTTATTTCCAATGAAGTTCGTTTCTTATATTAGGAAAAAAAAAAAAAAAAAAAAAAAAAAAAAAAAAAAAAAAAAAAAAAAAAAAAAAAAAAAAAAAAAAAAAAAAAAAAAAAAAAAAAAAAAAAAAAAAAAAAAAAAAAAAAAAAAAAAAAAAAAAAAAAAAAAAAAAAAAAAAAAAAAAAAAAAAAAAAAAAAAAAAAAAAAAAAAAAAAAAAAAACTACTTGAATATGCTGAGTATCCAGATAAGTAGCATGAATATTTTACACTCACACCGTAGGATTGAATCAGATTATTTGTTTATTTTAATTTCCCAACATTGTTACTCTCTCTGCTAATATTTTGGTTGAAGAATGTAAATGGATGAATGAATGCTCAACTCTAATATATTCTAGTGTTTTGTTATAATACAAATATGGATGAACTTTCCAGTATACTCGAAGTGTGCGCGAGGCATTGTGAGAGTTGGAGCTTCCTTGCATCTTTCATAAACGTTGGAGAAGGATCATAACGGACAAAGTTACATCTCAACATCTCCGGATCGAAAGAGGTTTGCTATTTGATTTCCGTCTGAATATCTCCATGCTCTTGAGGTTATGTATTTCTCTCATTATCACGGTGGATTTTATAGCACAACTCTAAGACTTTTTTTTGACATGGAAACACGTAGATATCAAATCTTAAATAGGTAATCACCATAGTTTGAACAACACGAGATATCAAATTATAAGTTTAGTGAATCTAAACTTATAATTTGACCTAAATTTAATTCTATCAAACTTCAACTTTTCTTTTTTACTTGTTAGTTTGAAATTTTGTAGTTAGTTTGAAAATTTGTAAAAAGTTACACAAATAAAAATCAATATTAATTGGAGAGTAAATGAAATTACAGGAGTTTGAGCACGATACCTCCTACATTGTAAACTATAAATTCTCCTTCTTTTTTAGCCATACATACATATAGCCTCTAGATCTCTCTCATTAAATGTTGTTTAGTTCACTCATGTGGCTCCTCTATTCGAGCGTCACATACCAACTAACATCTACTTTAGTTCGTCTCTAAACCACATTGTACGAGGAGAGATTCCTTAGTGATACCATGTGTAACACCTTAGGTCCAAGAATCATACAAGAATTTGAATTCAATATTGAGTACCTTGTAGCCTTGACGCTCCCTTGCACTTGATGCGATCTAGTCATGCTATCCTACTCATCTTGAGATGCTACGAGGATGAAGATCGTTCGTGGAAACTAATACAAGAGTCCTTTCAGTATTGTTATGTTATTTCTCTCATTGCCTTGGTGAGTTTTTATAACAGTGAATAATCGTCTAAGCACTACTACATTTCTTGACATGGAAATACGCATATATCAAGTCTCAAATAGGTAATCACTATAGTTTGAACTTATTTACTGCCTATCTTTTAGTTCTAAAATTTGTTTGAGTTGATCCATCCAAAATCAAAATGCCTCAAGACTCAAACTATGCTCTAGTTGGTTTTACGTTATATGATGTCTGTCATATTTACTTCAGTCGGCTATATATATTGCATGTTTACTGTTACCTCTATTGTTTCAAATATCTAAACCCTAAATATCAGGTGCCTTATTTTGTCGATCCCAGTACTGGTATTGAAACTGGCAACAAGCAGATTTTGTCTCATATATTCTAGACATGTTCTGCAGCCACCCTGCAATTTTGGCGTCTGATACCATTACATGCCTTACCTGTAAAGCAATACAAGTCTTTGCCAAACAAGCTTTTATAGTCGCAAATATATTTTTGTACAAGAAGAAAGCAAGGGTATTGATTGCATTCTTAAATATTATGTCCTAAATCCCTATTGATGAGTATGTTGAATGTAATATTAGTTTTACAAGATCAACAAAAGAACTTGAATGCTAGATAGACCATATCTTCAATTAGATCATACAAACGAGGGAATTCTGAGGATGAAGATTTAGAGTGTGACCAGTTGTACTTGCCCCGAATATATAGTATGATCAGTTGATAAAATTGTTCGGTAAAACAAAACATTGTTGGCAATATTCAAATTACTTATTTGATGAGCTCGTCATGAGTTGATTGCTGCGGCTGGCAGGGCTAGATGATTGCGCCTACCCTCAACGAATTTCTGATGATATTGCTGAAATTTGCCTGCCTTGATTGCTTCTCTGATTGATCGAAAGAATCCTAAATAATGATGAGTATTATGTCTGCAATAGGATGAGAACCATTACTGTGAGAATGCAAATAGAGACAGACGACTAAATATTTTCTAAGTAGTCAAATTCTCATACATCTCCAGCAGTATTTGAGCCAGCATTTCGTGGACATTTAGCAAGTGATTTATATAAGCCTTGGTATGATTCAGGCAAGCGTAGCAGTTACACCCCTCGAGAATTGGTGATGTATCTTTCCTGAACAAAACAAATAACCCATTTTTAGCAAATATAACAATGCAAATTAGGATCTACGATTAGATAATAAGGAATTAAATATTGCCAAATCAATACCAAGCATGTGAAATATTGTCAAACTTACCGATAAAGTGTTGCTCTTAAGTTGATTTTTGTCCGATCACTTGCATCGTCGTTCAGGTGCGTGTCAGGCCGTTTCTCCGCAATTCCATTCAGTGGGAAGGTGAGAGCAAAGCCTCCAAGGGTCAAGTGATATATGTACCTGCAACACAGTAATTAAACAATTTATAGAGCTCATTCAGCAATGACAATCACAGAAAGATAAACCATATTCAAAATGGATAGCATACGCAGAGTCAAAGAGATCGACTCCAGCAGCAATACCCTGCAAGATCTCCTCTGCAACATCAAAGAAAACATATATCCAAACAAATTATTGTTTGAAGCGAGAACCCAATGTAAAATAGAAAACTTGGTGGATTAATTATAGGATGGGGCAACCAAGATGAACGATTAAACCTCTAATTGGTCAGATGCCATCCAACATTTTATCAGGGGTAGCTAACTAATTGAGTCGTACAGTATGGTTATGATATTGAGCTCACATTTGATGCCTATTTCATTGATTCAAGGGAAGAATTCACTAATTTATAAACTACAGAAGCTCAAAGTACATAGATTTGGAACTTTGAGGTTACGTTATGTGTGTGTGTATAGACTATAATAAGAATAATGATATTTAATAAAACTAATTTGATTGACAAGCGACAATGACAAAATGCACTACGTGGTCATCATAAAGAGTGACAAAAATGATTGAACCAAAATGCTTAGTCACAAGCTACAAAAAATATTAAAAATATGTATTTTCAGCTTCCATAGGCTGGACACAGAAATCCAATCGAAAGTCGAAACAGGATTGTATACTTCAAGCAACTCAACCTAGAAGATTGAAAAACTATACCTGGAAGTCCGAGCCCACAAATCATACGTGGCAATTCCTCTGGCAAGACATCCTGTTCAAACAATGAAATAAATTACCAGAAGCACGCTTCTTTTTCAAAAAAGATAAATTCTGATATGGTTTATGATGCTTTTGCTTCACAACTCATGGGAGAAAATGTAGAATAGAAAATGGACATCACAGAAACAGAGCATTGAATTGAGGTACTTGGAACGCAGATGATAAAGATAATATATACACACATATATATACAGGCATACACACATGGAAAGTGCAGGAAAAATGACGGGGAGAAAGAGAGAGAAAAGGGATATGGAAGTAAAGGGAATCGATCACAGCTCAGTTACCTTTTTTATTTTGTTAGGGGAAAAAATTCATCAAGGGTTGAAAGTAATGATAAAAGAAAAAAAAAAACTTCAAAAAACAAGAGCAAGGTCCAAAGAATTGTTTTAACAAAGAAAGGTATACACAAACGAATCCAACTTGCTACCTATTAAGCTTCAAAGTTCAACTCATTAACTAGTAGGGTTCGCATGCAAACCATCCACACCCTAGTTGGTGCAAGAAATGGACGGGGACGCCTAAAAGACTAACCTAACAATTTTATAAGCCAAATTATTACCGTAACAGCATCAAGTAGGGCAGGACGCTCATCTATGCTCTCTCCAAGCCCAAAACCTCCAATCCAATAGCCTACCAAAATTTGTTTGATGAAACTGAGAAATTAGAACAAGAAATTGGAAGCAAAGATAGAAATGATAAATTTAACTGAACAAACTAGAGTTGAGAAACATTTATGTGGGAAGCCAGGGAAATAATCATTCCTTACATACGAGAGAGGGTCAGGGGTGTTATGACGAGAATCAGAGGAAAGAAAATATTGGCATTCTGTTCAAAATTTTATTTGTATGGTAATGATTTAAAAACATGTTGTGTTTAAAGACATGATACAAACTGGCTGTTCAGAGCTCTGATAGCCTAAACAAATTTTGGGAGATGCTAAAAATTGATATTGCTCAAAATTAGTTCTCAAGCTATGAATCTTGAGCTAATTGCCACTATTCACCTTTATATATCAAAGAAAAAGTTATTGAACCTGATACATTACGCTTAACCACCTCTAAAGCACATCTTTGGCGTTCTTCCATATCATTGCCTCCAACAATAGCTCCAAAAATAGCCCCACCTGTCTTCATTATAATAATAAATTGATTGTTCCAAATCACTCATGACATTACTAGGCAAAGAAAAATGTAAAAAGCACCAAATCTAGACAAAAAAACTAAATACTATCACTTGATCATGACAGGGTTTTCATATTGCTTTTGCATCGATGAGTCCTAAACAAAACAGTCATATTACGTAAGATGACTCTAGAAATTGTAAGAATCAACCTTTACTTATTTTACTGAATGTATATGGCCCAACGCTCTTGTTTTTGAGGGAATTCTGAAAGCCATAAGAATGATACTCTGGAAGCACTGAAAAGTCATCAGCCATAATATCCAGAACATTTTAACTCTGAGGAACCATTTGGCACAAAATACTTAAGAAACTTGTTTTGGGCACAAAAACTAAGAGGTAGAAACTCTTTTTTTTAGTTAGAAATGAAAACTTCATTCCCAACATAGAAGGAGAATGTAACCAAAAGGCATGGGAGGTAGAATCCTTGTTCCTCAAAACAAACACATAACAACACTCATCTAGGAGGATCTAAAAGTTACTAAAGTTACAACAAAATGAACGGAGGCTTCTCTAATTATAAGCCAGAGGAATAGGGAAAATGTTGGTTTCATTTGTGTATTTGTTAAGAACCTCTTTCGAAATACTATTAGGAAACCACATTCCAGTCAATTTTTTTAAGATGCTCCTTGTCTCAAAGCTTCACCCGTACTATCTAGGCAAGACACTTTATGCACCCTAACCCTTTTACAGTTGGGAATCTACTCCTAGAAAATGTGAATAAAATCTTACCAATCAATCACTCCAATATTCCGATTCGGAAAATATTCGACAATCACCAACCATGAGCAGGTTTTCGATGAATTCCTAAAATATTTTCATGATATCCTCATTTTATTTGTAGAATTATGCCATCTTTATCTATTTAAAAGAGACCAGAATTCTTATTCCCTCCTTTCGCCAGCTTGCTTTGGAAATTATGGTCCACATTCTAAGCTGCTTCATTTTCCTCTATCTAATTACTGCGTGCTATAAATTTCCATATAGAATTGCACAACCAGATGGTCCCCACAGACTTAACGTGGAGGCAGTTTTTAGTCGTCAGTAAAATTTCTTGTCTACTGCTTTTCTCAGCTTCTTTTCTCTTCGTGGGCCTATTCACAAGTTGAAGTCTAAAAACACACAAACATACTTGACCTACATTTCTCAACATTAGACATCTAGCAGAGTTCAACTAATACCATAAAAGGGACATTCTAGCAGTCTTACTGAGTTCAAATTGATGCATTCATCGAGCCATCTCACAGTTCGATCCACTGATGTTTTATTCCTTTTATCTGAAACCCACGATGGCACTTCATCAGCCAAGGAGGCCCAAATGTCTGGTCTCATGGACGAAATCAATTCAACATACTCAACAGGTTTTATCTACAATTACAATGCAAACTCATAAACTTCTTTTTCAAACAAAATAGTAATGGAAGGGCAAGCAGAAGTTGATACAAAACAACAACCACAAACTTAGAAACTTATTTTCCAAACCAGAAATCTCATTACCAAACGACGACCACAAGTAGTCTCAAAAGATGCTCCAAATTTATTGGAAGCATTACATTCTGGAAGGCACTGAACAGAATCCCTTGCTACTGCTGCAAATACATATTCATGTAACCCAAGTAAATGCTGCAGCCCTCCAATACTTGATATCGTTTTCAATGAAGGACCTTCCAAGCTAAGAATTAAAGGATTAAAAAGTCAATGTGGCTGACAAGAAACAAAAAACCAAATAAACACGACTATCTTCATGTGATAATTGAAAATTTTATTTCTTTTCTGCCGGACTTATTTCTTGATTACACCGTGAAGGAAAGCCGATTAATTAATAAAAGATGGAATCATGAAAATAAAACCAGAGTCAAGACAGCTGTAACAGGAGTATAAAGTGTCTGAACAAACACCGCCAACAACATCAAGAAACAACGTACAGAGTCAATTAATGTACCACTTACCAGTACAAAAATAGAACTCACTTCATAATTCTGAAGAGAACCAAATTTTCACTACAGCGTGTCATGTACAAGTTAAAAATTGATCTAGTATGGAAATTGAATCAAGGACAAAAGACAGATAAAAGTAATGGATTCCATAAATTACTTGACAGTTGTTTCATGGATACAAATGATTACAGAAAAAACCACCGATAAACTATTTCGGAAGAGCCTAAGGCATAAGTCCGACAACGTAAAGTAGTCGTTGCTTCCCAAACTCAACTGTTCGGTTATTTAAGTACCACATAGACATAGTAATCATTTCAATTTCCGTGAACACACAGTCTGCGTTCAGCATTCTTTCCTAAATATAGTACTATCAGCTGCAATCATCATGACACATTCCTCTTGGTTTTAGTAATCTAGAACATTTCAAAAAGCATCATACGATTATCACCTAGTACGAACTTCTGATCTCATGCTTTATCCAGTCGTATTCTCATGACTGTAGAATAGTTTCCAGGTCACGAGACGTACTCAAAACAGACAATCCTACGAAGTGAGAGAACGAATAAATAAAAAGAAAATCAATGCAACAAAGTAGAGCAGTCTCTCCGGCTGAGGCGCTCCAATTGAAAAACACAATGAACGCGAATAAGCAGATTCATCGCAACATCGACACAAAGTGAATTAAAAGAGAACGACGGAATGGAGATGAAAGAGTAGGAATAGTGTAGAATACTTACAAGTGAAGAGGACTGAACTGGAGGAGGTGAGAATCAGGGGAAGGGAGAGACGGAAGAAGATCAGGAGAGATGAAATTAGGCAGTCCTTTACAAGTAGAGAGAAGTAAAGCAGGAGTATCAATGGCGGTAGGGCAGTTTCCGAGCTGTAGACATCCGGTGCGCGCCTTGCAGTTGCTCCACGCCTTCACCGCGAATTTCATTCTGCCTCAAAACAGACACAGATGTGTGGCGCTAAAATCTGTTTGAAATAGTGGAGGGCTCTTAAATATGGACGCCACTTCAACCCTAGTCGCCTCCCCATTCTCCAGCCCTTTTTAGAAAATCCCTTTTATTTGGTTGTTTTCTCAAATTTATGTAATAGAAAAATATCTAAATTAATATTATTTTTCTAAACTCAACTATTTAAATTAGTGCTGTTAGGTTTTTTTTACGTAAATTATTCCATAAAAATTTGATAAACACATGTTCTTTTATCTATGCATTTGTGATATTCACCCTTGCATTGATTTAAGAAACAAAATTATTGAGCTTTTTTCTTTTTTAAAAAAAAGGTCCACCAAATGTTGTGAATTTTTGTACCAAACCAACTACCTTGTCGACATCACAAACAGTAGTGGGAATCTTATTAGCTTCAACTCTACTTCTGTGAGTCTTGCATTCCAATTTTGTGGTGTCATAAATGTCTCAAATCTGCGCTGTCCTTTTTTTTCACTAGAATTTGAAACACTGAAATCTGAATGTTGTGGGATGGGAACCAATTTCTTTGCTTTCCATCAAATCTCGCGAGATGAATAGCCCATCGCCCATTCTGCAAGAAACCCATCTATTATTCAATTTATTTGACACATCCTCCACAAAATCCGTTATCTTCCTCTCACTCCAACGTGCACAAAAGCCCCGCCCCTTCTCTGCCCAACCATTTTCATCCATTAACGCAACTACCACCATAACCCCTCAACAAGCCCTCGAGGAGATCTCTGTGTCAGACAAAAAACTGGGAACAAAGTCACCCTGCAACTTCTGGGTCTTCGGATTGGGCCATGACAGCCTCATGTGGACAGCTCTCAACCTGGCATAGACCACGCTTCCACTTCCACTGACTCTGTCTGTCCGATCTCATTTATTTTTCAAATTTCACTAAAAGATAGTATGTTGTTCTTAATTCAACCATTTTGATTCTATTATTGACATAAATAAAATTAAAAGCAACCTTCCCCTGTCCTAGATGCGTGTAGTAGTGAATAATATTACTAGATTCATTTTACAGAAAGCCATAGCATAGCAAAAGATTGAACGTAAGCCAGAATGAACGTAGAAAATAAACTCTGAAACTGCATTGCATTCTCTAAAAAGACACTACAAAGTAGTAATGATGCAATTTCTTGAAGAAAATTGTGGCATGCATCATCACTGGCGTTGAGGGTTATAAAAAGAAAAACAGGTAAATTCAGAAGAATAAACTTCAAAGAGTGGCAAGCTGCTGGATGTTGAAAGGATAAACAACGGATTGGTCGCCATTAAAAGCCTTTCGGGCCATAAGGACGTTTACTGCTTCGGTGGGATGAAATGCATCCCAAAAGATGTACTGGTCTCGATTGGTGCAGGGCGTTTGGAAGGGGAGGCATGTGATCTGGCCTCTGTTCCTACCAATTCCACAGCATCCCCTGTTCAGCACGCTTAACCCATAAAATCTAGAGTTGACAAGCATATCCTGGAACATGCGCTCTATGTCAATGTAAGTAAATCTTGCTTCTGGAAGGTTGGTATTAAGCTGGCTTATCATGCTCTTCACGTTGACATTGAAAGGTCGAACAAGTTGGTTCACTTCTTCTGAACAGCTCCCCGCTGCGCTCTGCGCCAAAATGCTTGGAATGCACCCCATCAGCCCCAAACCTGCGATCACAAACCTTCTGCCCCCCAGATTGTACAGCCTCTGCACAGCATGACATTGACATAAATATTGATATGATGGAATTTAAAGCTAATAAAGAAGCTGTAAATGAAGTACTGACAGTGAGCTGCTGCGTGTACTGGTTAACCAACAAATCCGCGTACTGCTGAGCATTATACTGATTACGAGTGGCGTAATTGGGCATAAGATAGTTGTTAAGATAGTCATTGCTCCCCATTCCCACAAAGAATATGCACCGTGCGATGGATTGTCCCACGTTGACCGCCCCTAGATTGTTACTGATCTGATCAAGCGTGCTCTCGAAGTTCCTGATTTGTTGGTTGAAAGGTATGCGACTCACCTGATCAAATCCCCATATGCCAAATGAATAACACTGTTTACAAGTAAGTTTCAAAAGGAGTAATGTGATACTTACAAAGTTCCTTCCCGTAGCGTCAAGAATGCCTGCAGCAGCGGATGCGTAGTTAACTCCGCGGAGAGATTGGGCTCCGGAAGCTTCAGAGAAGGCAGGGACCAATGGTAGTCCAAGCAGCATCGCTGCATGAATATGCATTTACAATGCAAGCATTTTTATAGATAATATCCACATGCATGGCTTGGTGTTAAAACGGAATAACAGTAGATTAGATGCGCATACCGATTTCATCCACCATTGTGTAGCCATTGGAGAAGCGCCCAGTTGGACCGCCATTGAAGTCAATGCCGTAGGGGAAATAGTTGGCCTTGGCGAAAGAGGGAAGATTGTTGTTGTTTCCGTTGTCAATGAGAGAGTCTCCGAATATGAACATGGCCGGTACCATCTCCGTCCTTCTCCCCCCTTGTGCGAATGGGTCGTTTCCACCACCTTCAAATTGCCCAACACTTACGCCAATAAACAACATCCCCATAGCAACAGCCACACTGTAGCAGTACTTAAGATTTCCCATCAGAATTCTACTTAATGGGATCACTGATCAGCTTGCTTGAGCGTTCATATAGTCTAAGGTGAAGGTGAAGGGTTTAATAGAGAGGGAGAAGTTGGTAGTTGAGAAGGTAATAAATGGAGTCATCTGTTCTCTTTCAATGCAGTAAATGAAGCCGCCGCATGATGCCTTCCCCAGCATCACCAATTCCCAAGCCCCCACACCTTTGCTAACAACTCCCGGGGGTGATCAGATCTAAACGTTGTTTTGTAAAATGGAAGTTGACTGAGTGCATGGTTTGTTTGAGCTTAGCCACTTTTGTGTCTGATTTATTTTGGGGTGGATCAGACCTATCATGTGGATACAGTAAGTTGAGAAGCTGGATCTCATAAATGCGCATACATGCTTATTTGATGATTTCAATACCACTCTTGCCATGATGGAATGAGAGTACTTAAGACTAGTGTGCTTAACTTGCAAACGGAGTTTTGCTTTTCCGAATGAACTTCCGCCAGCTAAATCCTACATAAAATATTGGTTGTGTTCGAGAATTTGATTTGGTTTAGGGGTCTTTCACCCTACCTAATTCTCAGTTATTTCAAAATTACTCTTGTTAACTAATGATTTTTTTTTTAAGAAAATATATTTTAATTTACATTGTGTGAAGAAATGACGTTCCAAATACCAAACAAAAACCATTTTTACTTCAACTCATACTAAATTGTTCTCGGGCTGTCCATTCATCCTCCAGGCTGTTGGTTCATCCAACTCCCAATTAATTTTCAAGAATCAGGCCCACGCAGTACTTTCTTTCTGGAGTTCTATTAAAAATAAAAAAGCAAATAGAACATTAAGTACTGGGAAATCAAACTACAAAACTCCGTCAGACTGAAGGGAAGAAGAAAATAAAACGGACCTTATACTCCGTTAATATGTTATGAGCAATCACCTGAGAAAGAGGCACGAAAGAATAGAGATAACTGGACTCTCGTTTGGCCTATTCACTATCAGATAATTCTACCTGCCAATAAAATGCTGTTCAACGAGTCCACTTTGAGGGGAAAAAATAAAGTAGGATTGGTGTAGGAGCAACATGTTAATTACCATATTCAGTGATATAGAGGCAGTGACCAAGCAGGTAGCCCAGGCTTGCTAGCCAGCAATTTAGAAGTCAGGTAGTGGGCAACGCGGGGAGAAGACTGCACTAGTAATTTAGACGAGAACTCTGTAAATAATGCCCCACTATTGACTCAAGTAACAATTGTCCACTTCTGACAATATTTGTTCCTCATTCAAATCCCAGCTTTAAATAGAGACGCCACCTAGTGATTAGCTACAACATGACAATGAAAACCATTTGATCCAAGGATTCAACTCCTACGGAAGATTAGAGCTTCCTCATGACCAGGTAGGAAGAAGCTCATATAGATTTATCAGGCTAACTGTGCTCTCTAACAAATCGGAATTACCATTTTATCTTGATACTCTGCAACAGACGGGCATGCTCAGACAAAACCATCAGAAGATTTCAAACATGGATTACCATCATTTCAAAATACTGCCACAGTTTATCAAGAAAAGTAAGTTGCCAATGAGGTAAATGAATAAAATTATAACTTAAAATAATAGCACAAGTAAAATAGTCAAGGCTTCCATAGTTTCATTGTGTTGTCTTCACTATAAGTAGCAACGAGATTTCTATGAGGATGATGATTCACACCTATCACGTCCTTCTCATGAACCTACACAAACAAAATTTGAGTTAAAAACAATCTATCATCCAATAATCATGCAATAGAATATGTAACAACTCAAACCAATGATCAAATTACAAGCCCAAGAAAAAGGAAAGTCCTGTTTAGAAAATGTACCAAGGAGGGAGAAAGTTATGAGTTTCCTACTAAAAATTACATCCTACAACTTCAAATCATTCATTCACATTTCGTTCAAAGAACCATTCATATATTTTCCTACAGTTGAGTTCTTTGATGGCGATAAACTAACACAATAGGCTATACCTAGACCTAGAGGCATTCCAATTTGGCTTTCCATGTTCTCATTCATATGTTTTATGAAGAGAGGCATTGGAGGCTCAAAACTATACTATATGTTATTGCCACTTTTTCACCTTAAGTTTCGTCGAGATTCTCGAGTTGGCAGGTCTTAATAACCCAAGTGCAGGTTGTTGGGCTATGATAAAGGTCTTTTTGCATTTCCTCATTCTAGATAGAGGAAGATTACTGTTGCAGACCAATTTCTTGGCATCTTGATGCTCTCTTTAGGTTGCTATGGCTAACTATTTTACAGGATACAAAGACTTGGAACTTGGAACTTTTTTCTAGGAAAAAATTAATGGGTGTAAATTCACATTCTCATGTTTCCAAATATAGCAACAGGGTAATAATTTTGCAAATATGAAAACTATTTAAATTTTCTCACTTTTTTTAAATACGTTTTTTAAACTCCCACACATGTCAGATAATCATTTTTATAGAGTCACTAATAGACATTTATCAATACTCAATAGATGCACTGATAGACTGTTTTTACGTCGATTGGTGATATGTATCTTTTTCTTGTTACAGGAATTAGTGATTATGTCTGTAGCTGAAAGACAAATAGGCATAAATGGGTGAGTCCATAACAGACAAAAATATCTAAATAGACAAACAAATAATTATTAATAAAAAAAATCGAATACATCACCAACACACCTATTTAATTTTTTTTTTAGTTCAATTGATGTAGATGAGCATGCAAACAAATAATGACAAAAATTAAAGCCAAATATTAATTGTAGGCTAAATTATTTTGCATTTGCCTAAAAAATATCCATAAGCTTACAATTTCAATAATACCTTTAAACATTAAAAATAAATAAATAAAACACTTTTAATTTAAAAGAAAAAAGTTAAAAAAAATACCCTTACAGTTGGTTTTGGAGGGAACCGTCGTACTTTATTTTAAAAATACTCTTGAACTTTCAAAAATACCCTTTAACTTATAAAAATGTTTAAAAACCACTCTTGGGTTTTCAAAAGTTTCATTACTACTCTTAAATTTTTTTAAAAACTTCAAAAATACTATTGAACTTTTTAAAAACTTCAAAACACCTTTGGAACTTTTTCTGAAAAATTAAAAAATACCTTTAGTACCACGTTTCAAAAATACTCATGAACTTTCAAAAGTTTATGGGTATTGGGAATTGTTTGATGTCATCTTTCTCCGAGGAAGAGACAAAACATAATCTTGAAACACTATTAAAAGTTCAAGGGTATTTTTTTGAAATAAAGTACTAACGATTTTCATCCAAAACTAACGGTAAGAATATTTTTTAGATTTTTTTGAAAGTTAATAGTAACCTAATCAATTATAATTTATACATTGACGAGCCAACTCTGATTCCATCACCATATTTAAATATAATACTAAAGCCAAATAAAAATGCCATTCTGATAAGCAATGTGGCGTTCTAATCTTTCGGTGTTCTGGACACAAGTTGTTTAAATTACTAAAGATATTCTTATAGCAACTGAGAATTGACCAAGAGAAATCCAAGTAATTGGAGTACAAAACACATACCTTCATGAGATGCTCCAGTTTACCGGATTGGTGGCTGAAGCAATACATATTCCTGCAGATGGTAGGCAAATTCAAGATCATATCTTAATAATAATAGTTAACTAAAGAACAAGGACACAGAGACATGACATGGATACAACGCAAACACGGCAATAAAAAAATTTCTAAAAATTTAGAGCACAGACAAATCGAGGACACATTATTTTTATTTATTAAATAATATTAAAAGATAAAATCCAAAATACTTTAGTTTTTTTTTCACTTACTATTAAGAATTATTAAATTAAAAAAACGTGAATGAAAATTTAATTTCCCATTGAATCTAGTCTAAAATTTTAATTTACATAAAACCCAATAAGTCATATGAGTCAAAACCCAATCAAGACAACTGCTCAAGCCACAAAGTACCCATAAAAAGCCTACAAAATAAAATTTATGAAAAAGTTTGTAATTTGAAAAAAAAAATAATAATAAAAACCTAACCCTTAAACAGTCCTTCTCCCTTCTTTCATTTTCCCTCCCTCCCCCGATCCTGCAAACGCCATCATTCTGCGACTGATGGACATATCTATGTCTAACACGTGTCCAATACAAACACTTTGTCAAATTCAAAGTATCCGTGCTTCCTAGATAATAATATTAATAACTATAAATATACATAAATTTATTAATTAAAAAACCCAGGAGTGGAGACCACTCAAATATGTTACAGCATATTGCCTTGGCAACAGATATTAAAGGATCATTAATTGAAGAAAGGGCCACTCCAAGATCATATAATATAGGGTACTGACGCTTAGATCGATATATAGTAGTACCAATAGACCTAAGAAATTATGATTTGGTAAGGTCAGACAATCTTACTTCCGTGAAAAGGGTACCAACTACCAAGGATTTGCAACATTGTAAAGTACGTATAAACTCCTCACGTCTAAAAAAGAGAGAAGGAAACTTCACCACATATGAAAAATAGAGGACACAACACAGCTGGATGACTTTATTTTTATGTATCCATAACATAAGAAAACTGACCTGTCTTCACCAATGCAGTATATCCATTCACCTTTTGGTGATACGCAAGCTGCAACAAAATCTCCCCCTTCTCTTTTACCAGATGAGAAGCTCTTAACAACCTAAATGCAACCAAGAGATGATTAGTAAGCCAAGATAGTAATTGTATTAGTTAAATTATTCTGCAGTAAATTTTCAAGTGTGTCAAAAGAATCATAATAATTTGTGTTATAGCAGATTTAAAGGCTTTTTAGTCTTTTGTCCTTCATTGTATTTTTACTATTATTAGTTTAGGGCTTCCATGAATACCTATACACATTTGGCTATACTCTATAGAATAATATGAATTTCTCCTGTATTGGGTCTCATAATATCATGGGAAACTATTGTGTATCACTAAGCCGTCAGAATCTGCCGTCGTTGCTCGCAGAATCTATCATTTGTTACTGAAGTAATTTTTCATTACTGCCCAGCCAAGAAAACAGTCCATTGGCCGAAAAATCACCATGTAGGCTAGATGCGTCGCTGAAACCTTCCATCGTCAGCCCTAAATTTTCAAATGCTCAATCAACTTCTACATTATTTATTGACTCTAATGATAAAAGTAGTGAGGAATTAAAATTGATCAGGAAATCCATCGTGAGAATGATAATCTTAAACAATCCTTGGCTCTCATTTATCCCAAAGAAGATGTTGTACCTTCTTTAAAGTTTGTGGATGACCAAGTCAAAGAGAATTTCCAGTGGA